ATGATAATGATTAAAATCTCTACCGGAATACTTGATCGAACTGCATTTCACCATTTTCAATTAGTTTGGCACCGTAAACAAATGCGGTCACTTGTATAAAATAGATCCAAGAATTAGCTATTGCCTTCCCTAATGCTTGTATTTGAATTTTCCACCTATTTTTCCTGCAAAAATAAATGAAAGAAATAAGTCATCTACGTGCACACAAGTGATGTTTCTATCTTCTCACAGATAATCGTTATTAAATGCTTCTTCGTATTTGTGAATAAAATATTTCTCTTTATTTAATGTTGCCACAGTTCGTACATCTTGTATAGCTTCAACAGCATACTAAAGATGACAAACAATAATTGCACAATGATGGTTGTCAGGTTTCAAAACGCAAAAACTTACTCTTCCGCCTTCTTGGGCAAATGATTTAGCTGATTTCGTGTGTCCGGCTTTGCTTTGCGTTCGTCCTTGTAAATATCCTGATAGGATCAATAAAGGTGTGAGCAATAAAACAACCAATGTCAATTTCCATCCAGATTGAAATGCAAGAAGTAAAGCTGTTATCACGGCTCCCAAAGATTGTAATAGAACACCTACAAATAAACAGATTTAGACTTTTAACTATGTGGTCTGTTCATGCTTCTACACAATACAATAGGAAAAACGGTTACTGTGTGATCTGAGACCTTTTTTCACCACAAACAAAAGTTCTGATGTTAAAAGGTAAATGATGGGTTCCCACAACCTCAATTTGTTTTCAGTTGTAAAGCCTATTGTTTACTCACCAATACGAACACCAGTCAAACTCTTTAAAGCAGTAGTGTCTGTTGCTAGCCTTGTTACTAATGATCCCACGCTAAAAGGAACACAATCTTTCTTTAATAATACCTCTTTTTAATTTATTATCGTACCTGTTAGAATCTTTGTCAAACCAGCTAATTTCTCTGCGTAATATTGCAGCAAATGACAATAACCTCATTCTCATTGTTAATTCTTCGCCCGCTTTCGCAAATGAAACTGTACTTATGAATTGTAACACTCCAGCCACAATATACACACCCACTATTCCTAATGCTAAATTACGCGTTTGAATTTCTTGCTTTTGACCATCTGGATTAGCTAATAGCCCAAAAACAAGCGAATAAACGAGACCAACAACGGGTTCGACTGCACCAAAAAAGAGCGATGTTATTGCACCAGATAAAAGATAATATTTTTCTGATGAATTTAATTTTAATAATTTGAAAAAGAATGGTGTAGGCCAACGTTTACGTTTGCTACCATCTGTTGATGACATTTCTTGCGGATTTTGATCGTCACCCACTTCTTGTTGTTCTTCATCATCAAGGTGACTTGAGGCCATTCGACTCACACTAGACATTCGAACTAAAAAAGCACAGTGATTGTATACTGCATAACCGACTATAATTAAGAAAGAATAGTCGATACCTCCAATTCCATTTGGAACAAAAGTATCGTTATCGTCTTTTTCCTCTGCCTTTTCTTCCTCCTTTTGTGTCGTCAGCTCATAATACAATCCTTTCTGTGTTATTAATTGATCATGTGTGCCTTGTTCAGCCACCCGTCCCCCATCAAAAACGATTATAAAGTCGGCATTGATTATTGTTGATAATCTATGTGCAATAATGATCGTTGTTCGTCCACCTTTTGTCTTATCAAGTGCATCCTGAACAACTTTTTCACTTGTGTTGTCTGAAATATATTAAAGATGACACTAAAATACTCTTCCTTTTGCATTTTTATCATGTTTTTATTACCTAATGCACTTGTTGCTTCGTCCAGCAAAAGTATTCTTGGCTTCGAAATAAGAGCACGCGCTATGGCCACGCGCTGTTTTTGACCACCGGATAATTGACCTTTGGCTGATGTTTTATAGTTCTAAATCAACAATATGCGATGAGCAAAACGATTTAGCTCAGGCAGTGCACAAGTGGACATAGATACACGGTGACTACACAACCTTACGGGGGTTGTTAGCACTAAGAGACTACTGAGTAACCTGTAGTATCACCATTTCCAAGATATTTGAGAGAGTTAGCTTTTATATATATAAAATATTCTCTTCTGCTATGAAGCCATAGCGGAAAAATTGCGTAAAATACTTTTCTTTATAATGTCTTTTATCGCCAGTTATGGACATGAAGAGGGACGATTTGCTTAGCATTTTCTGCTAATCCTATATCATTATTTTAGAAACCAATTTAAGATGTTTTTTTAATAGTGACAAACCGTCAAAATGGAAGAAGAGTAATTAAATACATACATCATCAAGTTTCATTATAAAATCATGTGCATTAGCCATTTTTGCAGCTTCAACGATTTCCTCTGTAGTTGCATCAGGTTTTCCTAATCGAATATTATCTTCGATCGTTCCACTAAATAAAACAGGTTCTTGACCCACGTAGCCAATTTGTGAGCGTAACCATTCAATATTCAACGTGCGAATATCGTGATTATCCAACAATATCTAAATAAAGCATTTTTTAGCGTTGATGTATTAATAAATTCGTTGTTTCTCGTTTACCTGACCAACATCGGCATCATAGAGGCGTGGAATTAATGATACTACGGTGCTTTCTATAGAGGAAAAGATGATTTATTTCTATAGTAATATGGAAATATATACATATCGAATTAAATATATTTCGAAAAAGAAATATATAACACCACTTTTTCCTACTTACTGCCGCAACCAGAATAGCCTACAAAAGCGACGATTTTTCCACTTGGAATTTTCATATTAACACCTTTGAGAATCTGAAAGAATAAGAACTTCTAACGTCAATTTATATGGGACAAGTAGGCACAGCACACATACGGGTAAATCTGGTCGTGCTGGATAAGTAAAATGAACATTCCTTAATTCTATATTGCCTATAAGTGATGCGGGTTTTTCACCGTCTTCGCTAAATGGATTGATTTTTGATATCTAAACGTTCATCAAACTCAGTCATAGTATCTTTCAACGTCAAAATAATGAAGAGAACTTACTCTTGCTATAGTTCGAAATACATAGCTACCCGAAGAAACGGCATCAGCAAATTTTTCAAGACTCGGAATAATTTGATTGAAACACCAGGTGACATTTAAACAAGAAATAAATATCTAAAGAGAAAAATAGAATAATAAATTAAATGAAATAAAAATGTTTTTTCAAACAATATACACAAGAATTAGTTCAGTTTTTGAACGTTACTCTTTGCAGATCACGCTGTTCGAAAAGCACATTTTATATTTCGACATGTCACCCGGATGAGAAAAGAAAGCATCCAGTATCCTGTTTAGATAGATTGACAGCTAGAAGTGCGCTTTCTAGCTTACAAGGGAAGGCCGCCAACTGTCTAATCGCTTTTGAGACGAAACCTAGTGGATTATAGGTTATCGACTATGCTGATTCCAAATATGACTATGGCAGCTGCCCATAGTCATATTCGGAGATCTAGGTTTTGGACAATCAGTTATTCAGAAACTCTAAAAAATAATCAAAACCTTTCTTAATGAGGCCTGATTATAGCCTGCACATTTTTGATTAAAATGAGACATTTCTCAGCTCTACATGAGTTTTCTTTGCAAAGTTATAGAATTTACAAGAAAAGCCCTAAGTAAATGTTTTCCTTATTTCTGTAGCTTTGAGCTGACAATGAACATTTAGGGCTTTTCTTGTAAATTCTATAACTTTGCAAAGAAAACTCATGTAGAGCCGGGAGATGTTTCATTTTAATCAGAAATGTGCAGGCTATAATCAGGCCTCATTAAGAAAGGTTTTGATTATTTTTTAGAGTTTCTGAATAACTGATTGTCCAAAACCTAGATCTCCGAATATGACTATGGGCAGCTGCCATAGTCATATTTGGAATCAGCATAGTCGATAACCTATAATCCACTAGGTTTCGTCTCAAAAGCGATTGGACAGTTGGTGGCCTTCCCTCATTAGTATTGCCCTATATACAGGAACGGTTTTGTGAGCAACAGTATTGCGGCGCCTACCGGTTTAAGCTCAAACGTTCACATTTATGCTTTAGCATTTTTCTCGTCATTATTATCCTTTTTAGTCTCACCATTCCTATTCTCCTAATTTCCCTTTAGAACTTATTTTGAACCAATTTTACAGTTAATGTGACGCAGTCTCAACTGTTTTCTTTTTGTGAAATCACATCAAATGAAACACAAAAGTAAACTCTATACTTACACCAACAAAAATTCCAGCCGAGTATTTATCAGATTCTGTTCTAATGAGATAAGGCCCATACCATAGTGCAGCCATAAATACAATGCCAGTAGAAATATTTGAGAATGCTTGACAACATCCGAGAATAAACCCTTTCTTTATTCCAATAGATGGCACGTTTTTTAGACTCTTTGTATATCTAAAATACCGAATAATACCAGACGTAAGTTGATTTGAATATACAATGTATCTACGATACCTCGCTTGCTCTTTCTTTTGACCATTGAACGCCGTTACTGTCCGAATACCATTTAAGACTTCTTGTACAATACCATTTGCAACTGAATAAGCTTTCTCTTGTTTCATGTTATATTTAATTGTAAACTAAAGTGCGAGAATATACTAGCAGATTAAACAGAAGACACAGATGATTGTCAAGCACACATCTGTTTTGAAGAAATTCAGGATATTTCTTTTTGGACGTTTTTCATTCCTCAAATACTTCTATCAAGTCAAATGTTCTTATTCTCACACATTTCTCTATTAAGATATAGATCTCTTACTGCAAACTGTGTAAATATTGTCTGGACATAATTCAAAGATTGCTTACCCTCAGTATAAGATTGAATGCAAGTACGACTAACCTGTAAGAAATAATACATATTTTTTAGT